CGTTTTGTGGCATCGGGGGGACAGTATTAGCTGTCAGCAGCAGCCAGTGATACTTCATCCCTTCCGAGCCCCTGATTGTTACTGGCCCAGCCTATGGCTCAGACCTGCTGTCTCCCATTCTGTCCTGCCCCTTCCGCTCCTCCCTTTTTCCAGCTGCCATGCTTCATCCATCCATCCATCTCCTTCCCACTCCTGCTTCTAGGCAGCCCGTGCAACTGGTGTTCCCCTCATTTCTATCTCTCCTGATAGCCCAGACTTGTGCAGAAGAAACCATGTAACTAGTAAATCCCTCTAACTCCCTCTCTCTTCCTCTGTTTTCTCTGGAAACATTTCAACACGGCTCCCTGCTGTGGCATCCCTCTCTGTCTTGTAGGCCATCATCTCCTATGGACGGTACTCATTTTCACATCTGGGCTTTGTACCACAAATTTCTTGTGTTGGACGCTGGCATGCTCAGCTATTCTGTGCTGTTCCCCATGCCTCAACCTGGGACAGCAGTGGTGTGGCTGCAGAGGGTGGACCAATATACATTGCTCAGAGGTGGCTGCACTGCTCTCAGTTCAGGACGCAGCTCAGGTGAAGCAGCGTGCTGTGATTGAGCTTGGCATGACAAGTTTATCTTCTCTGTGTCACCATGCGGCTCTGAGGATACAGTCAGTGCTTCACAAGTCCTGAAAGATAAGCTAGAGAGCCACTGGGAGGAATGAGGCTTATTCTAGGCCATTCTTTTCATTGCACAGTGTGTTTGTTCCACTACAGGAGGTGAATGCCTTGGAGTGTGAGATCCAGCTGTTAAAGACCCTCCGCCATGAGAGAATAGTCCAGTATTACGGTTGTTTGCGTGACACAGAAGAAAGGAAATTGTCCATCTTCGTGGAATACATGCCAGGGGTAAGTGCGGCCATGGCCAGCCCACGTGGCTAAGAGTAGACATAGATCATCCTGAACTAGAGAGGTTTGGAGTCAGAGCCAAGTCCAGCAGCTTGACCCATATATCTGTAAAGGGCCAAAATGAATTGAGGATCCAGTTGCCCTGGAACTGTTGGATTCAAGTCGGACTTCACAGCCTGACCCCTCTGGTTCGCCATCAAGTCATAATTCCAGATTTCTTTGCGCTTCGGAGCAGCCGCATCCTGATTTGGATCTTTCAGACCCCCTGTCTGAGCACCCAGTTAGTGTGTGATTGGATTCAGAACGGGCTTCAAATTGGGGGCGTTCAGGCCCGTCTGTCATTATGATAACTGGGTATTTCATAGATTTCATAGACGTTAGGGTTGGAAGGGACCTTGGAAGATCATCGAGTCCAGCCCCCTGCCCAAAGGGCAGGAAGTCAGCTGGGGTCATAGGATCCCAGCAAGATAAGCATCCAGTTTGCTCTAGGAAAGATTCACTGTCAAAATCTCAGCTCTCAGCTGCATTGCTAATTATATATATTTGAAGCATGCATGGAAACGTATTGCTGATTACCTGAACAGCTCTGTTCTCTGAAACTACCTCATCTCACGACAGTGTTGCTTTATTGGGTATCCCCTGGTTGTGACTCTGTTTGTGTATGATGACACATCTCCAGGGACAGCGTAGGATTAAGATGCTTTGATGTGGAGGAAACTAAGGAGATATAACTCCAGCTCTTTTTCTCAATTCTTCAGAATGTAAGCGGCATCGCTTTAGCCTTGTTGCACATTAATTTTGGGCAGCTCCTGGAGCTGTTCACCCCTAGCTTGTCCGCACGTTAATGCCTTTAAGTGGCTAAAACATGCTTTATGCAGTTCAGATTACGCCACTGCAGGGCATGATTATCTCTGATCCACACAACCCAGCTCCTGTTCGATTAAGGTGCAGCTACTCCCCACAGACGTGACACTCAAATTGAAGTCCTCCAGTATCCCAGGATGCAGCGGTTTCTCCCCAACCCTTGTGTCCTGTGGGCTCTCACACGCCCAGCTGCTAAGTGGAGCTGCAGCTTTTCTATTTCCTCCAACTTCCAGCACCCTCCCATCCAGGAACAGTGGCTCAGGCACCTTTCCCCACCAGCACTGAGCCTCTGAGCAGGTGGCCACTGCTGGACCCTGTGCTTCTCCCTCTCTGCCAAGCCCTGGGAAGTGGAGGACAACACGGGAGCCCCCAGACCTGACAGGGCTCTGACAAGCCCTGATCTCCAGCCCCATGGCTCCAGCAGCACCCAGCTTCATGCACTCAATCCATGTGCAGTGCAGTGAGAGCTGGCAGCGGCTGCTGTGGGGTGGGGGGCAGCCTGCTGCCAGGGAAACTGCTGCTCCAGAGCCAGGCAGCTGTGGGGGCATCCAGGTTGTGGGTGCAGGGCTGTGCCACTGCCTGGGGCTACTGCCTGGGCCTCCCGGGGTGTCTGTCTGCTCCACTGTGTGCTGCTGAGCTGCCCCCACTGGGCCCAGGGGCACCGAGGGAAGTGGGGGCAGGGTGGATGTGGGGGTCAGAGCTGAGGGGGAGTATATAGGGGAGGGAAGGCAGGGTTGCATTTGAGCCCCCCTTAAGCTGAAGTTGCCCAGGCACTGGGAACAGGCTGATGGATGCACCAGGACGTGTAACAGCAAGCCATGAGCACGTGGGGTAGTGACCTCCCCAGCCTTGCCATCTCCCTCTTCCCTACATAGAAATCACGGAGATGTAGGGCTGGAGGTGACCTCCCTGCTCACCAGGCTGGTAGTGGCAAGTCACAGCTGTGCAGGTGGGAGACGGTCGGAGAAGGTTTCTAGTCTGAAGGTGCAACTGCTCCGAACTCCAAGCTAGCTCTAAGCTGATCAGCATCTGGGCAGCTCAAAGTACGGCATGTAGCAAGGCCCTTAGAGTTCACTGGCCAGGACCGCAGCTTGTACAAACCGGTGTAGCTCCATTTACATTACCTGGTGATGCACCCCTTTTACTCTGATCCATCTGTTTCTTACCCACCACCCCTGTGTTTGCCCTGTAGACTCTGAGGCTGCAAGCACTCACCTATTCATAGACTGCAGAGTCAGAAGGAACCAACAGATCTGGTCACAAGTTGCTGTTACAACTAAAAATTCCCACTCAGAAGATCCCCGTGTGAAAAACAGATTTCCACAAACTGCACATCTGCAAGCCCCCCAGTTCAATGCTCGGTCTAACCACAGTCCTCTTTCTGGCAGCTCTAGTTACAGGCTCTGACGCAGAACCAGAAGAATAAGCCCTGGCAGCGTTATCGACCCCCTTGCCGCTCGCTCTATCACACACTGATGTCTGTTCCCAGCCAGGAAGCCAGCATTGATGCTGTGGCTTTTCCAGAGCTGGACAGAGTGGCCTGTTTGTTTTTCTAGTGATAAACCAGGGCTCTGACTAAATAAAGATTGACTTTCATTCTGCAACAGCAGCTCGCTTCACGCCATCATGCAGGACTCTGCTTCCCCTGCCTCCCTCTCCCCTTGAGGTTGGTGGATGAGACCTGGATCCCCAGCTATAGGGCAGCAGCACTGAAGTGCTTTGTCGACCCACGATTGGGAAGAGCTGTGATGAGGCCAGTCTACTAAGGAGCCTTCTGCACCAAACTGGCCTCTCACCAGCCTCAGTAGCTCAGGGAATTTATCATTAACCTATATAAATACTGCATCTCCTGTTCTTTCCCTTCCCACCTAAATGTCTTGCTAGTGAAAGGGACTGGCCAGTTTGACTCCAGGAGCAGAGGAGGCTCTTAAGTGGCCTCACCTGAGTATGGTGCTAATACCTGTGCCCCATCCCACAGAGGGAAGACTGGGGTCACCAGAAGGCCAAAAAAGCTTGGGGGACAGATACCTAACAAGGGAATAATGATGGAGAACCCTGGGCAATGCCAGCTGCAGTGAGGAGGGGTGGGTTTTTCGCAAGAAGAGCACCTCTGGCTTCGGAAGAGGGAAGGGACAAAATCAGACCTGGAGCAAAGCAAGCTCAGGAGGTGTAAGGCACGAGGAGTGTTGGTGGAGGGGACTGTAAGTGGGGAACCTCTGGCACTTGGGTTAAAAGGTCCCTGCCTGAAGCACTCAAAACGAGTACTTTTAAATCCTGAGCTCCTTGCCTCAACCCCTGCAGAGCCACCTGTGGCATTGTCGGACTGATTTCCCAGATGGGGCTGTGAACGCTGGAGGCATTGTTGCCTCTGATCTGACAGACGTAGTCGTTGAACGTGAGCAGTTCGGGCTTGTACCCTTCAGATGCATTTCCTCAGATGCCCTGGCTGATGATGTACAGTGGTCACAAGAGGGGGGTAAAGAGCTAAGCTGTGTTAACTAGGCCAGTGGGGGCCAACGTATTTGGCAGGCGTGCTGTAGATTAAGTCCCATGCCCACCCCAAGTGCCACCCCTATTCCCTTACCCAGCCTAAACTGCTGCTCTTCTTTCTGCTCCCCGTCCCATCTGCACTGTTCCCAGCTCCCTCCCTAATCTGCTATGCGCCATGTAGAGGATGCCTGTGCCACTTGTGGTATTCATGCTACAGATTGGCCACCCATGGCCTAGGCTCTGGGCAGTTCTTCTATTGCAGACCAGCTCTTCACACTTTTCTCTTCTGCCCAGAGGAGTATTGTCCTGTGGGACCAAACCCTGGATCTGTCACGTGTGTCCATGACACTTTGGCATCATCACATGACATTCCACAGAGCCAGAAAAATAAAGATCACATAAATGTAAAAGCCAGTGCAGTGCAATGGGCCAGGCTCAGCAAACCCCAACCATTTTCTTCTTTGCAACAGGGTTCCATAAAGGACCAGTTAAAAGCATATGGTGCCCTGACCGAGAACGTCACCCGGAAATACACACGGCAGATTCTGCAGGGAGTTTCCTACTTGCATAGCAATATGATTGTGCATAGGGATATTAAAGGTAAGGAGCTAATAATGGGAAACCTTGCACTTATTTAAGGTCGTCTGATACGTTGTGGGGATTTGTATGCCGTGTGGTCAGGGCGCAGCCCCGGGAGTTACAACTCCTGGGTTTTTGCCCTGGTTCTAACTTAGGCTTGCTGGGCATTTTCAAACATGTTATGTAGGCCTGAATTTTCCTGGTGGCCTCTGGCTGCAGTTCCCCTGGGGAGATGCTTTTGGCTTGATTTGCAGAGATCCTGTTGCCAGCATGTGAGCTGTGCACTTCTCAAAATCAGGCCTGAGGCATTTGGCACTCAAGAACTGTGGCGTTGTAAGTGAGGAACTGTTGTTGGCCTCAACTTTTCCAAAACTTCTTTCTCCATGAAATGGGTTAGTGCTGTGAAGTTGCCTTAATTGCAATGCTCATTGAGTGGGATTTTCAAAAGGAGCTGGTAGAGAGAGGACTCCCACATAGTGCATTAATGTAACCAGATATTGCCTTTCCACCTTTTGTGGAGCTACCAGTCATTGGCCTGAGTGTTTCTTACTTTTCCTTGGTGTGCTCTGGCCTGCAGTTCCCTCTATTGTTTTTTTTGTGCCTGACCTGTAGGTGCCAACATCTTGAGAAATTCTGCTGGGAATGTTAAACTCGGAGACTTTGGGGCCAGCAAACGCATTCAGACCATCTGCATGTCTGGGACAGGAATCAAATCTGTCACAGGAACTCCTTACTGGATGAGCCCAGAGGTGATCAGTGGAGAAGGCTATGGAAGGAAAGCAGATGTGTGGTAAGAAATGAAGTGGGCCTGTTCATTGAAGTGGGTTAACATGATGGTTTTCTGTTGTAGCCATCCATTTTAGAAAATCATAGTGGTTAATTTTCCAAGAACAGCAGGTCAAGTTAGCATTTAAAGACCGCATGGTCTATTGGCTTAATGTTACAACTGAATGTTAGGGCTGGAGAGATTAATGATTTTGGATGCACCGGTCTTTGGGACATGGAAAAAGGAGGATGGCTTTCCAAGAATGCGCTCTCAGCACTTGTGAAATTCAGGCCACCTTGAGCACAGAGGTAAGTTGCCATGTTGGCCTGAGGTCAGACAAAAGGTAGTGCAGGGCGGCATCTTAGAGATTTCTAGCATCTGACTGAGTAGGTTGTGGTGTACAAAACCTCATGCCTCTGAACTAGACAGTGTCTAAGGTGCCAACCTGCCCTTCCTTCAGCTCCATCAGGGTATTTCAGGCAGAATGCCCCAAAATGGAAGTGCCCAAAATCATTTTGGATGGTCTTGGCCTTGAGCAAGGTCTGTTTGTGGCTCCAATGTGCACTTGCTTTTTGACACAAGTGACTTTGCAGGACCCTGGTGGACACTAATTTTAGTTCCCTCGGGATTGACTGTTAACAGGAAGCCCTTCTAAGTATCCATGACCTTCCTCAGCTCCAGGGGACCTATGGGGACTCTGTAATTCTGGCTTTGGATATTTGCACATTGACCCTGGTAAATGGGTACTCCACTCCCTCACCCCTGCAATCTCATCGGCCTCTGAGGTTTGCATGATCGGGCCCGGAGCCTAACCAGCTGGAATGGCTGCAGCGATGGTGCCAACAAACTTCAGCATTGCTGTGTGCAGACAACACATCTTCCCTTGCCTTTCCAAACAAGCCAGGGCAATGGGAATGAGTTACTGGAGCTGCTTCACACTGGTGGGGAGAAGGCCAGAGGAGCCTTTGGCAGGCTACCCTCCTGTCACTTGCCCCAGTTGATAGGCGGCAGGTACAGCTAGCTCTTGTTGAAGGTGATTATAAGTCATGGTTGCCAAGCTGGCTTAACGAGGCTAGAGAATCCATGCAGGTGCCAAGACTTCTCACCAAGTGCTGGGAAGCCTTCAGGACATTTCCCCGCCCCTGCATGTCTGCCCTGGATCTTGCTAGCTGCTGGGAATTCAGCTCTCTGCAAACCAGCACAATTGCCCTTGCACTACTTAAGCCTGGAGGAGGGCTGCACTAAGTTGGATCTCTGTGCTGCAAGCCAGGCTAGTGGTGAAGGGGTTAGCTTAGGACTCACTCAGATTAAACTTTCTGCTCTGCCACAGGGTCTGGGTCACTTCAGGCAAGTCATTTGAGGCCAGAGCCTCTTCTGCCTAGGAGGGTGTGTGTGAGATCCTATTCCTTCCTTCAGTCCCTGAAAGAAAAATAGCTCTTTATGTAACACACATCATCTCAGCCTTAGGATCAAGTCACAAACAGCAGCGAGAAGGGGAGTAGGGGCAGGGGGGATGTCTCCACCCTCTGTGTTTCAAACACATGAACAGATACAGTAGGATTACATTTAGTGGCCTAAGCTAACTCAAGTTCCTGATTCACTGGTTATGATGTTGTCAGATTTTTCTAAAGTTTGTAGAGCCCAGAAGATGTGGGTCAGTGCCCAACTCCCTCCGAACCTACCTAGGTGCTTTTGAAATAGGTCCCTCTCTGCACAGAAGCACTTTGAAACCAGGCCAAAGTTTTCTGCTCAGCATTGACTTTCCATGAAACTTCACCTCTCAAGTCACTTCTGAAAATAGGATCTAGCCACCTAAGTCACTTGAGCCTTACTGTGGGGAGCAGCAGAGCTTAAATACCTTTAAAAAAATCTGCGTCTCTATGCTTCCATTCTTCATCTACAAGTGGAAATAATAGTACTTCCCTGCCTCGTAGCACTGTTGTGTGGATACGTATCGGTACAATGAAAACTGCAAGGCACTGGGATGCTGTGATAATGGACCCTGAACATTTCTGACAACAACAAGTTTTTCAGCCCTCGGGTGGGAACTCTGTAAAAAGGGAAGGGTTTGCTGAATTAAGTGAATAATACATTGCTCCAGAAGCTTTTTAAGTTAAATTGCATTTATTTTGCATTTTGCCTCACCACCTCCGAATATTTATTGTGCCCTACTCTGTTATCTGTCAGCTCTGGAGCTACCAATTTGTTAGAATCAAGAAACAAATCGGGCCTTTTGCAGGATTGCTTCTGGCAGCCTGAAGCCTCACGCAGGTGACGCTGAATCTGTTAGCACTGATGGTGCCTTGGCAGTATACCTGCACAGCTGGAGAGGCTTAGTGACCTTTTGTGTTATAAATGAAAGCAGAAAATGTGCGGCACAAATTGGCAACAGTGTGCATTTGTGTGTGTGAATCTGCTGAATTGCAGAGCATGCTTTGTTCTCATGGTCTGCTTTAACTTAGGGCTTCAGAAAGACTTGCTGACCCACGCACAGGATGTCCACTTCCAGAATGATCAGTGGGGGCTTCTTAAAACCTCGAGTTCAGGGAGTTTCACTTGTAACAGAACAAGGAGCAATGGTCTTAAGTTGCAGCAAGGGAAGTTTAGGTTAGATATTAGAAGACCTTTCTCACTAGGACGGTAGTAAAACACTGAGACAGGTTACCCAGAGAGGGGTGAAAGCTCCATCCTTGGGGGTTTTCAAAACCCAGCTAGACAAAGCCTTGGCTGGGATGCTCTAGTTGGGGACGGTCCTGCTTGGAGCAGGGTTTGGACTGGGTGTGACCTCCTGAGGTCCCTTCCAGCCCTCGTTTTCTATGATTCTAATGAATAATTTTGGGTCAGATGCCTGGGAGAAGGGGATGAGGCAGCATGATGGCTGGATGAACCCTTTTGCTTCTCTAACCCTCTCGCTCTTCCTGTTCTTCATTGCAGGAGCGTGGGCTGCACTGTGGTGGAGATGCTAACAGAGAAGCCACCGTGGGCAGAATTTGAAGCCATGGCAGCCATTTTCAAAATTGCCACGCAGCCGACCAAGCCGCAGCTCCCAGACGGCGTCTCAGACTGCTGCCGTAACTTCCTCAAGCAGATCTTTGTGGAGGAGAAGCGGCGGCCCACAGCAGAGGACCTGCTGAGGCACCCCTTTGTGAGCTGCAGCCTCTAGGCCCTCACGAGGGGAAGGGGAAATGTGGGCGGAGGATACGAGGAAAAGGGAAGGGAAACAAAACAGACCCATGGGCTTATGCACTCTGAAAACCCAGCCCTCAGCCTCCTGTTTGTGTTGCTCCAGGTCCCCTCGGTCTGAGGTCGCATGATCAATCACACCTCACGGTCAGCAAGGGGACCAGTTTCTAAACTGCACTTATGCACCAGCTGGCTGTGGAGAACAGCTGTCACCATGACTTGGGCTAGAAGCAGTTCAAAATTAGGGGTTGCCCTCGTGACACATCGGTGGTCGGGTGAACCACAGACTGAGTAGCCCTGTTGCCAGTGGGTGTGTGGTGGCACAGAGGAGCTCGGGATGGCAAGCAGTCATCATGTCACCTGTCCCCAAGGCATGAAGTGGACCGGATCTACCACCCCTCGCTGGGCCACTCTGAAAGGAGCACCACCAGCCACATCCTTGAGGGCAGCCGTCACTGTCTCAGCAGAGAAAAAAGGGTGCCCCATAATAGTCGCTGCAGGACTCGGGCGTGAAGCAGACCGAGATGAATCCAGGACAAGGAACGATTGGCACGTGTGCCTCAATGCATTTGAAGAGGGAAAGGAGTCCTCTTGTGGGAGCTGAAAATGGGAGGCGGTGGGAAGCCAGTGACCATAACAGCATCTCCAGCTCTTCAGAGAGGCCAGACTCGCACTGCTTTGTGCCTTACGTGGTTATAGTCAATCAGCGTTACCCTGATTCACCCCAGCGTGTCCAGTCAAGATGTGGCTGCCCAAGCAGTCCTGTTGACTCTGCATTCCCGTGCCTGCAGAACAGCTCAAACGCAAGGCGTTGCTTTTCCCTGGATGCGGAAAGCCGCCCGTAAGAGACTGATTGCCAACAGTTGCCAGAGGACATTGGATCATTCGTTGTCCAGCAGACAAGTGGGTCTCAATGGGACCTGCCGCTCAGTACAAGCCAGTTCTTCAGGGCCTGATCCTGAAACAAAGGGGGAGGGGACGGGGATGGGGCATTTCTTTGAGAGCAGTTGTCCTCTTATCTTCCTGTCTTTGCCAACCTGTGGCCAGTGCCGTTGTGCTGCTAACAAAGGGTCCAGTGTGCCAGGGACTGAGCACCTGCCGCTGCATCTTGCAGGACCGGGTCTCATGACGGTGCAGAAAAGTTGTCTTTTTCCACCCCGCCATGGAGGAGCATGAAGGCTCAGCTCCTCCAAGTGAGACAGTGGAGATGCACACACCAGCTGCAGGCTCATCCTGCTGGGGAGCGCTTCATCCTGAGATGCCCTAGGGGCTTTCAGTGCCTGGGAATCAGGACGGGCCTTGATTCCCAGTCTGGCAGAGCCATGAGTTTGTCATCTCTGGGCCCCACTCTGCAAACAGCACGAGGAAGGCAGAGCTTCCCTGAGGACCAGCTGCTGCCCTGAGATGAGCTGCTGTCCCTGGGATAGGGAGCGATCCTGCCACGTTTCCAAGACCCTGAACCCACCAGTTGTGTGTGTCTATCCCCACCCCGAAGCCCCTAGGAAATGTTAAAGGATAACTGAATGCTCCACTTGGCAGGGGAGGCAGTGTGTGTGGAGAGGAGTTGGGGGTAGGATCACCGATGCGGCTGATGCAGAGTTGTACGCACACCCCCAAAATGCCACCGTGCATACCAAATTAACCATTTAATACCTGTCCCAGCACACTGCCTAGGGAACGCTGTTGTAATGGGATGTGTGCCTTTCTCAGACACCAGGAGTCCTGTGCTCTCCAGCCTATTTATGCCTCCTAGTGCACTCAGTTGGCTTGATTCTTCTTTCATGGATGCTGGTCTCAATCAGGAGCTTCACTACCTCCCCCTGCATTTTACATCAGTGATATAAAATGAAGACGATCAGCACCCAGGGCAGTGAGTTATTCACTGTGGTCATATGCTGTCATACATTGTTATTCACACGGGCAGTGTTTATCTGTTTAATACCCTTTGCCAAAAACAATGCTTCAATAGAGCACATGATATCCTGGCAATTGCATTGTAGTGCAAGCTGTTTTGCCCAGTTGCTTTGTTAAGGAGGTGGACAGAGTTAAAACTGTGGCCTCAAATGCTGACCTGATTCCTCCTCCCCTTCAGTATGTGAACTGGAATGATACATGCAGGGTAGTTTTAAAGCTGGGTCTGTCCAGATCAAGCAGGAGCAGGGACTTGGTAGAGGAAATGATGTGGAAGCAGCTATTGCAATCTCTGGGGTAAATGCCACATACCAGGCCTGACTTTTTTTTTTTTTCTTTTTCTCCATACTGTGGCTTCCTCTTGCATGTGTGATGGTGTACATGTGCTCTTCCACCAGTTTCCACTACATGCGTGGCTAAATTTGCACATACAAAACCTGCTTGTCCGGTATTGATCACAAGGGAGAATTAAGCAGTTGTTGCTTTTAAAGATGCTTTAACTTGTTTATGGCCTGCAATCGTGGGTTAAATCTTGAACCTTTCTGTGTTTAGATGCCTGGTAGAGATGATATTCAGCTGTCGGCACAGGACTGGTGAAAGGCCTGTGCACCAAAGAAATTCCCCTTAAATTCTGTTTAGGACCTAGGCAGGACTTAACACTTCTACTGTGCACTTAGGCATATTTTACTTCATGAAGAAAGCAGGCAAGAGCAACAAAACTAGCACAGCTGGGGTAGCCTCAGCCCAATGCACCGAGTGTTTAAAAAAATAGAGTCTAAATTTAACGTATTTGCTTGTAATTACAAAGAGGAACTGAAATCAATTTTGTCTGTGCAATTCTCCCTCCTCCCTCTCCCAGTGTTGTGCCTTGAAGTGAAGAGACCCATGTGCCAAAGTGGAAGAGCCCAAACTGTTTTCTTTGCTGGGAAATGCACAAAGTAAAAAAGTAAAATCAGTAAACACGAAAGCAGTTTTAGATCTGGAGAAGTCGTATGGGCAGATTACTTCTCTATGGGGAATGGAGGGGATAAAAAGAATACAACTTCATAGATATGTACTAGTGCTCTCTACAACTGACTGAAAATCCAGAATTGACTTCAATGTGCATTGGCTCAGAGCTGTCATTTTCTACTAAATTTTATGGGGTGGTTCAGGGGAAAAAGAAATAGTTCTCATTCTCTAGGATGTTTGGTAGAACTTTGCCTTAAGGGAATAGCTGCATGTATTGTCAGTAACCTTGTAACAATGCTTTTTAATATTAATCTGATAGTTTCCCCCTTAAACCAGCACAGTTAAGGTTTTTAAGTCCTTAGTCACTCTCAAATGAATTGAGAACAGAGTCCTGTTCCCGGCCACGCCATCTGGACTTGATCCTACATGCCACAGTTGGGCTCTTGGGAAATCTTGACTCCGGGCAATGAAATACGAAATAGAGGCTGATGGCTCAGGCAGGGCTTAAGCATGCTGTGGTGCACTAGGCTGTTTGCAAACACTGTCTACGGTGCTCCCTTCCTCCCTCAAATGAAAAGTCAGGACAGGGACCCAGTCGAGTTTGTAAGGGCACTTTGCAACCTGCCCTATGGCAGCAAGGACCAAGCTGTGCCTTAAGGTCACAGTTCTGGCTGCCCCAGGGGGGAGTGAGCTGCGCCAGGCCTTTCACTGGGCACATGGCTTCCCTCTCCGCCGGCTTAACAGCATGGTAGGATGTAGTGTCATTGCCAGCCTAAGTGTTGGGGAGAGATGTGTTGGCTGCTCACCAGCTAGCTGTCCCCTCTGCATTGTGGTCCAGGATGCTTGTAGCCCATGTAGGACAGTATGGGGGCACCACCTACATCTAGGTTCACCTGCACTGGGGACTAGCTCAGCTCGTGACTAAGCCTTACAAGAACAAACCTGCGTGCACTTGGAGAAGGGGGGAGAGCGCTGCCTTAGCTGTGCTCTCCAAAGGGCTATAAGGAACTCTTCCCAAGTGGCTTTGTGTTGGCAGAGCACCCTGCCACCCTGTCCCCCACCCCAGCTGATGCTTCAGCACTGCAGCCTGGCATCCTGCTGTGCCAACAGGCCGAGTCCTTGGGATGAGCTGGGAGCTCTACAGGACCAAAGGCAGCAGGCACTGGTGGGCTCCATCCTCACAGGCCTTGTGCAAACAGAGCTTCCAGTGACTTGGGTAGGAGAAAGGCAGGGATAGACAACACAGACCCTTGTGACTGTGCCCTCCTAGTTAATGCTCCCTGCTAACAGATGCGGAGAAGGCTTTGAGCCCAAATGCAGCTAAACCGCATAGGACAATGCCCAATAGGGGAGAACTCGGCTCCCACAAAGCAGGGCAGCACAAAGCCAACGTCACACCCAGCTCCATACGGTGGTGCAGAGTCCAGTACAGGGGTGAACTTCACCTTCCAGGTCCCCTCCTGACACGTGCACAGCTGGGCACTGGGATCTCCTCCTGCCTTTCTCTGGTCTTCTCCGTGTGTGTGTGTGTGTGTGCGTGTATGTGTGTGATCTCCTCCTGCCTTTCTCTGGTCTTGTGTGTGTGTGTGTGTGTGTGTGTGTGTGTGTGTGTGTGTGTGTGTGTGTGTGTGTGTGTGTGTGTGTGTG